ATATATATATATATATATATATATATATATATATATATACATATACATATATATATATATATATAGATGCTATATATATATATATATATATGTATGTATAGATGCTATATATATATATATATATATATATATATATATATATATATATATATATATATATATATATATATAGCATCTATATATATAGCATCTATATATATATATACATATATATACATATATATATATATATATATATATATATATATATATATATATATATATCAGGCCTTCTCGTAAGAGGCGTGCGATCGGACGCTTTATATGACCACCCATATAGTTCTTTGTTTTAACAACTTGACCACGGTTCTTTGCAAGTTTTGATAATTAGCGCATTTAAAAAATGCGCTAAAGGAAAACAAATGCGATTTTTAATTTAATTGATTCCATAATTACAATTAAACTTCCACAAAATTTCCTTAGTACTTTAATGCAACTTAATAAAAGCAATCGTTGAAAAAAATATTCAGTTTAGAGTTTCAGTCAAAATGAGTAAATCAAAAAATAATTACAAAACTTTTTATCATGGAACTATAATTTCTAAAAAGAAATTATTTACTAAAAAAAAAAGAATTACAATAATCTAGAAATAGTCGCATTTGCCAACTATTTTTTATCCCAGGGCGTGACGTACGTTTTTTTTTAAATGAACGTTGACTTGCGTATCTTTATTTATTGATGAACATCTAATTTAAGAGATTTATGTCAAACAAATTTCAAATAATTTTTATTCTAGTTAATAAGTTATCAAATATATCAAAGATGGTTGGTCTATTTATTCAATTGTTATTTTTCAAAAACTTTTATTTTACACATTTGCAAAGCGCGCGCAAATTAATGATAAACGCACAATAAAAAAAACTTTTAAAAGTGTTTTTAATATGCAAACAAACATTATTTCAGTTTATGGAAAATAAGAAAATTTAAAAAAAAACATGCACAATTTTATTTATAATGAAATCATTTGCTTTAAACTTATAATGTAAATGCTAAAAACAGAAAAGAAACCAAGCTTAAACATTATGATCGCTTTCTTTAATAAAAGAAAGCAATCAAATTGTTTAAGGACGGTTTCTTTTGAGATTTTTGCAAAACCATCTATTTTAACTAAAACTATGATACTTTTGTGAGCAAATGCAAAAACCATGCTAAAACATAATTACTTTTTTCTATTATTCTACTTAAAAATGACGCTATTGAAAAAAGTAATTATGTTTTGGCAATTTTTAAAAAAAGTCTCTGTAATTAATTGTTTTTCATTTTAAATATGTGTTTTTGTAATAAATAAAAAAATATTGATCGCAAAAATATTTTGAAAAAATTGCTGAAGTAACGCGTTTGTTTTGAAAATCTTAATTAAACGGCAACGTTTACATAAGCAAAATTAAAGAAACATGATGTTTGTTTTTCTGTCTGTCTTAAAGAAATGCGCGCACATTTGTCGATTTGTTGCACCCTGTATCCTATTAACTTTTTAATAAAATTTTAAATTTGCATGACAAAATTTTATTAAATTTCATGACCCTTTCCCTCACTATAGATCCGCCCTTGTATTAGCCTATTTATTCATGGGAAGGAATGATAAAGATTATTAGAGCTGTGATTTTTTTACAAAAAAAATAATGCGTACGGGGACAAAAAATTAATGTGTACACTAAAATGTCCCTAATAATGCTAATATCCCCATAAGTGTTCATTTTTTGTAAAATCTGTCCCTGGAAGTTAAAAACTATGCAAATATATATATATATATATATATATATATATATATATATATATATATATATATATATATATATATATATATATATATATATATATATATATAAAGTTTATATTTGCTTATAGTATAACTTATGGGATAAATTTACCAAAAAAAGTATACTTATGGGTACAATTAGATTATTGGAGACATTTTTGTCTATTTGTGTATTTTTTATCCCCAAAAGTATACTTTAAAAAAAAAAAAAAATTATTTATGTAAGCAACTTTTAGGAAAATTAAAAGTACATCAATAATTACTGATGTACAATAATTATATGTTAGAGTTAGAGTCAAGGTCACTGTTAGGGTTAGGGCTAGATTTAAATATTATATTACTGTAATTAATCATTTTTGTAAATAGATTATTTGATAATTTATAAAAATATATTTTTATAACACATTATTAAATTTGAATATATATAGTACCACATTTATTAGAATTTTATTAAAAGAAAATTAATTAAATTTATTAAAAGAAAAATTAATTAAATTTATTAAAAGAAAAGTATTAAAGATGTATTAAAGAAAAAGTAAAAAAAAAGTTATTTAAGGGTTATTTAATAAAATATTTTTGTTGTTGTTGATAAAGCTAATATCAATAATTTGTAAAGTATCGAAAATATAAATATTTGTATAACTTTTTTAAACTCAAAACATTTTGATTCTTGCTTTAATATTAAATCTTGTAACAATATTCAAAGTATAGGAACACTATAGTAGGCTATCTTTGTTATTTACATAAAAATGGTCATATTTTATGTATAGGCTTTTAAGGTGCAGCAGGACCAAATTTGATTTTTTCAATTTTTGCAATGAAAAATATTATAAATGTTACAAGTTTATGAAAAATATCACAAAAAAGTCTATATTGATAGTAAAAAAAACATATTGAAAATCTAATAGTATCGAAATAAGAAAAAAACAGGTTTTTATTTAATCAAAATGAATTTATCTACATAATATCAATTATTAATCATTGTTTCTGAGAATCAGTTTGAAAAATTCTTATATTTCTTACTTTTTTTGATTTTTCCTTCTTAACTACCATTTTTTTGGTGAGAGTTAAATTCTCTCCTATTTTACTAAAAGCATCACATTTTGATCTTCAGATTTACTTGCAATATAATCTTGAAAAAGGCAAATATTTCTCTAGATGCAGTCTTAAGTTAATTGCATGCTTTTCACAAACTAAACAAAATTTCTATAACTCTCAAAATTATTCCAGAAGCCAGAATCACTCTTAACCCATTCATTAACATAACATTATAAACATCAACAATGTTGAAAAGGATCCAGCTTTCCAACAAGACTAGGAAGGGTTATTGTCTAAATCAAAAATTTTGTGGGTGGATTCTATTCTACTCTTTAAGAACTATGGGACATCCATACATACTTATGTGGAAGCTAGTATATTAAACTTTTGCTTCTTACACACTGTTAGTATCTTGTTTAGTCATCTGCATTAGTAAAATATATAATGCATCAGCCATAAATTTTCATCAGCATCATGAATTGCACTAGGTTGTGGATTTCTTAAGTTCTCCTTTTTTCTTTGATTAAACTTTTGACATTTAAAGCAGAAATATGTATTTCTTCTGCATCTTGCAAAGCTTCTTCCTAAAAGAATGAGAATTGCTTTTCAGGGTTGCAAGCTATAAAAAATAAATAAGAAATGTTAAAATGATAAATATTATATAGAAATAAAATATTTAACAAAAAATAACCTTACGACAGAACTAGTCTGAATTGCACCTCCAAATCTAGACTCCACAATTCTATCCACCATTTTCCTTAGGACAACCCATCTTTTCCTTACAAAGCCTGATTGCAAATATAAGTAGTACATCAGGGGTGTACTCTCATGGTTGTCTGGTGGCACAGGACGACTTGTTTTCTCCAAGGGCGACTGAAATTTAAAAAAAAATGCCTGTCAGTTACCTGGCAAGACAACCAGACAGTTTGTTATTTACAAAAGTGTGTTGTGTTTATTAATAAAACTATATTTTGATCTATAAAGATTTTATTCCTTGCGATTATTTAAAAGAAGACTTTAAAAAGTATTCAAAGTAGTGTACACTTTGAGTAACACTACGGTGTAGTGAGTAACACTACGGTGCGTTATATAATTTTACCAAACCTAACAAAAAGAACCCGACACCAAACGTAACAAAAAAAAGCCAATTTAATATTTTGAAGTGTGACTGTACCGATTTTTTAAACTTTGTTGTTGCATTTTGAAGCATGCTACTTCTAAATTTAAAATGAGTTTTAAAATTACATTTTCTTTCATTTCAAAATGCTATTGTCTCATTTTTTAAACCTTATTGTTGCATTTTAAATCACGTGAATGGGCAGTTAAATCTCTAATAACACTGAATCTTTTTTTGTTTTTCATTAGTAAAATAAATTTTTATAAATTTTGTCAAACAAAATAAAAAGCATTAAAATGAAAAACAAAAACAATGGTTTCTTTCATGTGCATTAAAATGTACGTGAAAAACAAAAACAAACAATGATTTCTTTCACGTGTATTAAAATGCACGTGAAAAATCATTATTAGAACACAATTAATGATGCAAGTGGAAATTCTTTTTTAATCTTATGAAAATTGTTCAAAACATAATGTTTTAAACATTCAACTAAATTAAATTTGATTGAAGATTAAAATACTTCTTTGCAGATTTGGTTTTTAACATTTTTGCTTCATGTAATAAAACATTTGTTAAGATTGACAAAAACAAACAACACGATACAGATATTGACTACAACAAAAATGACAGCACATCTTCAATTAATTTAGTGAATAAATTAATTAACTTACTTTTAAATAAACTGTTTCTTATTAGACATATTTTTGTAGTCAGATGTTTAAATTTTTTTCTTCATTATTTTCACTCGAGAACAAATACAAAAAAAAACTTTTACATCGAACTACTGATTATCATAGCGGATGACTCAATAAGAAATAAAAATTGTTTCAGTTGCCCGCAGGGCGACTGGAGAAAAACCGGAGGGTGCACTACTGTACATGACCAAAAAAAGTTATATTATGTAGGAAGAAGTAAATTTTTTTTGTATAATTGTTACAAAATTATATTTTTTTATATTGTATCATATCATAGTTGTATTAAGTATATTATTCCATATTAGTAAATTATTCCGATAAAGTATTAAAATTATTTGTTTAAATATTTTAGCTTATGCTTGCCCATTAATTCAAAAGAACGGTAATCAGTGTGCAATCAATGATTCTAGAATTGATATCAATCTTTCTTATTTAAAACCATTGAATCGTGACTTTTTTAATGTCACAAGAAATAATTTCGAATTTCAGATGAAGGTATTATTAGTTCATTTCTAATATTTTGTTATAGTAACATTGTTTTTATTTTTTTTTAATTTGATATTTTTGTTGTGAAACTTAGCATAATTTTATATTTAATATTTATAGAGATTTGATATAAAAATTTGTTGCTATAGTTTTTATTGTAACTTTTTATTTAAGATATGCTCTGGTTCTAAAACCACAAGTTGTAATGAGAACGGAAATTTAAACACATCCATTACTGGGTGCTATATTTCAAACACTCAAAATACAACTGTAATAAGTACTTATCAAGGATCTGAGTTATTAAACTACTTTGCAGGTATGTTAGACATAACTTATTCAACTGGTCAAAAGTGTAGCAATGGAGATAGTTATATAATGAAAATATCTTTTATTTGTAATCTAAATATATCAATTGGAAATCCTGATTTTGAACAAGAGGTTGAACATTGTTTTTATCACTTTACTTGGATTACCAAATTTGCATGTATTCCACTGGTAATTTTTTTTACTTTTAAATTTAAACAAACTATATATATAATAAACTACAGAATCTAAAACTGATTTCAGATTTAGAATCCTCATCCCATCGATTTGTTGGAAACAATTAAGCAATTCCTGAAATTAGTTAGAAACAATTAACTTTTTTAAATTATTTTTTTTTATATTTTTTTGTTATTCTATTTTTTTAAAGTTTTTTTTTTCATTTTTCACAAGTTTACTTTTCCAACACTCTTGATCAACAAAAAATCTTAATCAGCAAAACTGAGGGAGGGAGGACATCCTGTTGTGAAAAAATTGCTTTAACACTTACATAATTTAAATTAGAAATTTGTTTAAACTTTCATTTTAAACTATGTACATTAAAAGTAAAAAAGAAAGATTCTTGCTCACTCATTATCACTTTTTTATTCACTAATGTATATCACTTTTTGCTGCCTATACAACATGTAAACATATTTCACTATTAGTTCATTCTTGGCATCTTGTGTTTTTAATTTTCTTACACAAGCAGTTCATTAACTTTTTATACTTTTTATTATTTACACATTTTCTTCATTTTAGTGGATCTAAGGTTTAAGTATTTTAGTGTGTCTAAGGTTTTAGTATTTCAATGTATCTAAGATTTAAGTATTTTAGTGTATCTAAGGTTTAAGTATTTTAGTGTGTCTAAGGTTTAAGTATTTTAGTGTATCTAAGATTTGAGTATTTTATTATGTCTAAGGTTTAAGTATTTTAGTGTATCTAAGGTTTAAGTATTTTAGTGTGTCTAAGGTTTAAGTATTTTAGTGTATCTAAGGTTTAAGTATTTTAGTGTCTTTAAAATTCAAGTATTTTAGTGTGTCGGAGGTTTAAGCATTTTAGTGTGTCTAAGATTTAAGGATTTGTAATCTATTATCCCTTTAATGAAATTTAAAAACACAATTTAAAAGCTTTCAATTTCAATTACCCTATAAATTTCAGTTACATCTATTTGCGATAAGAATGATGGGATTGGCGATCCTGAGTTGGTTTATTTATTAAATTAAAAAATTGTTTTAGATTCAATGCATACCATTTTATGATGATATGAAAACATTTAAAAACATTTCAAAATTATTTTAGGTTCCATGCGCAGCATTTTCTGATGATGGCAAAGTAATTGAGTTATCTAGATTACAGAAAATGTATTTTTATGAAGTAAGTTTTTTTTTTTTTTTTTTGATTACTTATTATCATTAATTTGGTTTTTACTTTTTTCAATTTTAACACTTAACATGAATTTTTCTCAAGTTCATGTAAATTAACATGAATTTAAGTTTTCTGAAGTTTACGTTAAGTGTTATCATTGAAATGTTAGTTTAGCTAAAAATAAAAATTGATGACAAAAAAGGGTGATAAGCATTTAGTCTAAAATAGTTTTTATTTTTAATTTCATAACTAAATTTCAACAAGCACTATTGTTATCTCTTGCCAACGCATAAAGAAAAATTGAACGCCATAGAACTCTTAAGAATCAAAACATAAAGAAAGATTGAATGCCAGAGAACTCTTAAGAATCAACGCATAAAAAAAGATTGAATGCCATAGAACTCTTAAGAATCAACGCATAAAGAAAGATTGAATGCCATAGAACTCTTAAGAATCAACGCATAAAGAAAGATTGAATGCCATAGAACTCTTAAGAATCAACGCATAAAGAAAGATTGAACGCCATAGAACTCTTAAGAATCAAAGAAATAATGAAAGTGCAATAGGACTTTAGATTGTTGAATCTCTCATTGCACAAGTTGTTGAATCTTTCATTGCACAAGTTGTTAGTGATTAGTGATTATGGAATAAGTAATAGTCTGTTGAGGTAAATGAAGCAACATTTCTCAGCCAAGCTTCTGTAATTTTTGTCATGTCAGTTTTGCAATGTGAAAACTGGCATTGTCATGGAGGAGATCAACTTCATTGTGCGCTGGGCATTTTTTTAAGAGTTTTGCTTGAAACTTGTTGATTTGAATATAGTTGAGTAAGTTGCTGTCATAATTGTGATATTCTGCAAACGCAGTTTCCAGAATATCACAATTATGACAGCAACTTTTTTTTCATTAATAAAATGCACCTACAATATTTAAAGATAACATTTATTGTACTTTTAATTCAATTCAGAAAAAGTTTTATCTGTAAGATAACTAATATAATAAACTAATAAAAACCTTTTTTGTATGTTTTTGTATTGATTTTTGTCTATACATTTACAGGTTGATATTTCCAACTCCATTAACCAGACTGGAAAAGTAATGTTTAACATCTGTAAGGGTGTTATAGGAACAAAGTGTTCACCTTTATCAGGTGCTTGTTATGAAAGTGATGAAATGGTAAAGATAAAAATTTTAAATTATATACAATAGATATAAATATATAATAGATAAAATAAAATAAAAATTTCTAATAAATGTATATAAATTTTATATTTTTCTATTTAGGTTCTTGCAATTTTTTTTCCCAAATATAAAAAAAGACATTTTTTGTTCTGATGATTAACTGTTTAATATATTATAATTTTGCATATAATTTTGCATCTGATTGGTGCTTAAGTGGTTTAAGTAGTTATTCTTATTTAGGTTTTTGTCATCAAGCCTTTTCAACAATTAACTGAAGTGTGAAAAAAACCAATAACTGAAGTGTGAAACTAAACTTAAAAAAAAAAAAAAAATCCTTATGAATGATAAAATAAATAAAAAATAAACCATAAAAAATAAAATTAATATGTCTTTATTTTAATTTAAAAGTATTTTATTTCATAGAATTAAAAAAAAAAAATCAAAGTTACATAGTCCAAGCTTAATTACTTTGAAATTGTTTAAAAATTTGAAACTGATATTTTCTAATGCCTACTAAGCAAATGCAACACAAAAAAATATTATTTGTTAAAAGGATTTGAACCCTCATCCAACTTCAAAATAACAGTCTCATAAATGTATCAATAAATCAACCGTGAAGCATATCATAGCAACCGTGAAGCATATCATAGCAACCGTAAGCGTATCATAGCAACTGTGAAGCGTATCATAGCAATATAGAAAAAGTTATTAACTTTAAAGTATTAAATGGGACGCTTTTAAATTAAAGTAATTAGGTTTGAACAATTGAGATGCTTCTAAATCAAAATATATTTTATTTTATGCTTTTATTTTCTCTAATTTATCCTTTATTTATTTTATCATTTGTTAAGCTATTTTCTTTTTTCAGTTTATGGTTTGTGTATTTTTAATTATCTCTAAATTAGTTTGTTTTTTTTAGCCTAATTTTTTGTAACGCGCAAATTATCAAAATATGAAAAAAACTGTGGCCAAGTTGTCAATAAGCTGTACATAAATTAGTTTAGGAGCAATATAAATCTTTTAAATAAATATACATTACAGGGATTATCTTTTTTCTGATATTTGTGAACTTCCAGAAGTTTCTTTGAAACTTTATTTTTCCAGATACCCAAATAGTTTTCTGGAAATACAAGTTACAAGTTCAGTTCAAAAAAATTTTTTTTAACTTTTTTGTCATCAAATAAATTACTCTATGCTATATTTAGTTTGATTAATCATTATTTGTAACTATCATTGTAACATCCACAGTACTACGCTGCTATTCAACTATTCTAAGATTGAAAAATTGAAGCATTTTTGCCAAATAATATGTGCACATTATTTATACACACATACTCATAATGAATTTCTTTTTAAACATATTCTTAGTTGCACAAAATGCATTTATATCCCCAGATTTTTCGTGTATATTTCTCAAAAATATCTCTCCGATTTTTTCTGGATATTTTTAGGAAAAAAATTTCCAGATTTTTAAAGTATGAACTAGATAATCCCTAATATTGCCAGCTTAATTGCAACAGTCAAATAATGTAAAATAGTGGTTTGGGAAGTAACTTATTTGAAATCCTTTTTTTTTTTTTTAATTTTATTTACTTCCCCAAGGCTAAGAGAGCCACTAAGGCTGCTTTATTGTTGTTACAACCCTCTCTCAACAAGTTTAGCATGGTACTACCAGGGACATTGTAGGGATTGAACTTGGAACTTCTCGCTTATAAAGTGAGCGTTCTACCACTATACCACTATCATTTTCCCCTATTTTAGTAAGACATTTATATTATTTGTATATAGTAGTATAGTGAAGTAGTAAAGTATGTCATTGTTTTTTAGACAATGAATTTGGGCTTTTTAAAAAATCGCCCACAATTGTTGCCATCAGGAGATGTAGTAATCGAATACGAAAATGGTGATTTTTGTGGTTCCAAAAATCAATCAAGCACTGTTATAAAAATTATTTGCAATGAAAGTGCTGAGGTAAAAGGTTTTACTGAATTTTTAAAAATATTTTTCAACTTGGAGGTAAGACAAATTATGTTTAAATCTTTTTGATAAATTGTGTTTCAATTTAAAATATTCTTTAAAAAGAAACATCAACCATCAACTAATAGTTTTTTTTAAGAGATCAAAAATTTAAAGTTTGAAATTTGTTTTTCTGCTTTGCTCACAGTAAAATGAAATTTTTGTTTAGTTATGAAATGTTTCTTATTGTTTGTGTTAAAGCATGAAGTAAATTTTTTATCCAATTGTATCTTAGAATCCAATAATTAAACTGATGTCAATCAAGTACTGCAAATATGAGTTTCAATTTGAAACAACAGCTACCTGTCAAAATAATAATTTGTAGGTATTTTATTAGTAACTTTCAAAAAATCTATAGTATTTAATTTATTTTATGAGTTTTTTATCCAATAGAAAAACTACAACTTCTGTTACAACTTCTACAACTGATACCACTCCTACAACTGTTACAACTTCTACAACTGTTACTACTCCTACAACTGTTACAACTTCTACAACTGTTTTTACCTCTAAAACTGATACTACTACTACAACTGCATCTGTAACCAAGAAGTTAACTACATCAAGAACTGGAAAGATTCCATTAATACTTGCAGTTACTATAGTTGTTGCTGTACTCTTTATTGGCTGTTGTTGGATTCTATATAGTCCAGAAAAAAGGTTTACTATAATAAATATATTAACATTTTATTCTTTTGTTTTAATCTACGAAATTGTTATTATTTAGAAAATAAGATTTACAATAAATTACTTGTCAACCTGTGAAACATGTTTATAATAATAATTATTTTTTTATTTATCACATCCCATGTTTATAATTATTATTATTTTTTTATTAATCACATCTCATCTTCTTCTGTAAATAATTATCAATGGTTTTTAAAATTTTTCAAGGAGTATGCATATACAATGCCATCTAAATGAGAGTTCCATTTAAATAAAAAATAAAATTTTAAGAAGTCCTATATATAGTTAAAATCAAAGCTAGAAAAACCCTCCCTCAAACCTAGAAACTATAAATACAAACAGGCATTGCAAGAGCTATATCGCTTCAAGTGTAAATAATTGTGATAATTAAATTAAAAAAATTCTTCTATGGATATAACTCTATTATTAATTTTTTAATACAAACGAGGGAGTTTAGTTTCCTTCAAAAGAGTTCCCTCGATTGAATTAAAAAATAAATATTTTAACTCTCGTTATCAAATATTTTTATACTTAATAATGTTATCAATTATCTAAACTTCCTCAAAATATTATTTTGAAAAATATGAAGGGACTTATATGCAACCCTCGGAATTAGGAAAAATGAAGTCTGCAATTAATTGCTGACCTCCAACTGTTAAAGGTTGACAAAAACAATTTGACCCAAAGGGGTTACTATAAAACATAGAAATAAAGTCAGCAATTTTTTGCTGACTTTAAACACTTTTAGGTAGGCAGTTATGTCGGAATTGCCGAATACTGACTCTAAGTTTGAGGATTGTATATGCATAGAAGAAGTTTTTAATTTAATTATAAAAAAAAAAACTTTTGTTGATGTATATTTTAATTTTAAAAGCTAAAATACTATAAAAATTTACTTTAAAAATATTTTTGTTTTAAAAGCTGAAATATAGATAGTATTTTAAAGTGCAACAAAGTCACTTTAAAGATTTTTAAATGCTGGGAGTTTCACAAGAAATTTGGAACTGAAACCATCACAGAAAATAAGATTTATGTGGTCAAAATCATATGTAATTTGTGTTTTCTTCATAGAAATACTATTTTATTGAAAATAAATGGAGCAGCAAAGGCACCTGCTTTAAAGTTTATAGATTTTACAAATCATATTAAAAGAGATAGTGTTTGTAGAAATAGTGTTTGTAAGTGTATATAGTGTTTGCAAAGTGTATATAGTGTTTTATATTCATATAGTATATATATACATAGTATATATAAGTGTATATAGTGTTATATTGTAAAGTGTATATAGTGTATATATAGTTTGTAAGTGTATATAGTGTTTGTAAAGTGTATATAGTGTTTGTAGACATTGTGTTTGTAAACAAGTGTGACTCACCAATATGCAATACAAATAAAAACTGAAGACATAAAGAAAGATGGAGCAAATTGTATAAGGGTTAACAATGAAGTTTTATTTAAACATTTTGTTCTATCATTTCCATTTTAATTTTAAAGCAAATTTGACCCAAAAAGCTTAAAAGCTGATTAGATAATTTTAGTTTTAGGTTTCTTGTTAACAGACCTATAATGTATTTAACAGACCTATAATGTATTTAACAGACCAATGTATTTAAAGTATGTAAATACTTTATTGTTAACATGGGCTTTATGCTGTTTTTTTATAAAAGAAGAAATAATTCTTTTTTTTTTTTTAAGCATGAAAAGATTTATTTTATAAGGTGACCAAACTTTTGAAATGGTATTATTTTGAAATGAATATTTTGTCAAATTAGATATTATCATTTTAAATAAAATATACAATGCTAGTTTATATTTTTAATTTTATTTTTAATTTATAAATTAACGATATAATTGTTTATACATTTTAGAGTAAAAAGTTCAAAAATTCTTTTTTATGCCTGTGAGAATATTTAAAGCTTAAGTGACTGAACTTAGGTTACCGAACTTTTATGTTAAATAGAAATAAAAAGCATTCTATATTTATGTTTAATTAACTGACAAAAAACATAATTTTTGAACATAATTGGTCGTAGTTGTCATTTGTTAAAGTTACTAAAAAATCTACTTTTTTTGCTGCTTTTATAATCTTATACTAAACTTCTAACATTTTTTTAAATAATTTTCTTTTCAAAAACACAATTACTAAATGTATTCCCATCGTTCCTTTAATTTTGTGATGATTAAGAGATTTTTTTGAGTGAAATTTCATTTTTCATTCATCAAACAGCATTTCATTGAGGGAGACAGATTTGCGTTCTGATAATTTTTTCGTTAAAAACCACCTTTTCAAGCAAAAATAATAATAATATCTATTCTTATTATTTCCAAATACAGTTGATAAAAATTGAACTCTGTCTAATATTATACTATTCCTATCATCAGGTGGATTTCAAAAATTTGTCGAAAAGCTTATGTTTAAAATTGCATGTGAAATGATGTATCATCCAACAATTCCTCATGCATGTTTTTCTCTTCTGGTAACAATTAAAATCGGTAAAATTTAAATTTGTTTTAGTAAAATACTACTTACTCAAATTTAATCGTTTTTTTACGTAATTTCTTATAAATTCGAACTTTAATGAACATATTTAACTTTACTATTTAAGGTAAGATGTGCAAAAGTAACTGGAGCAAGTTTGATTAAAAGTAATGAGATTGGTCACACTGTCCAAGAAATAATCAACTCTTATTGACTATATATAATAACTGACTCTGTACATGAAAAATGTGCTGAAAAGCTCAAATGGTGCGCCTTTTTCTCTATTTTTAGCGATCGAAGTTAAGTAAGAAAAACTGGCAAATATTAAGAAATAGTTTTAGTTCAAACAAAAAACAATAGCATATCAAATTATATGGTTGCTGACCTGTTAGATATGTCACTCTATGGCAGCAGATGGTGGGAGCATAAACTTTGGTGTACTGTCACAGTGGCAGCAAAATCAACCATGGTTGCTAAAAACACATTGTATTAATCATAGGATTGAGCTGGCTGTAAAAGATGCCTTTAAAAAATCCCTGATTTTGAATTTTAAAGATATTCAACAACCTAGCGACAAAAGTTTCATTTATTTGCAAACTGAAGAAGGTACAGAATTTTTACAACCACAAAATGCAAGAATGGTGTGAATCTGAAAATTTTGCCATTTTCATTCTAAAAGATTAAAAATTATGCTATTAACTATTATGCTAAATACGCTTTATTACAATCTATATTAAAATTACTGAAACAAGGTTTGTAGGACATAAAAGGAATGGAGTTTCCATTTTGTTAGAAACATGGCCAGCTTTTATTATAGCTTACCAAATTAATGCAAGAAAGCAGACAAATATTAAAACTGTAGCTAAAGTAAATGGCTTATTAAAGTGCTATTCTTTTCTTTGCAAAGTTAGTTTGTTTCTTGACAGCTGTTCCAGCCTCAAAAATATTTGAAACTGTTACAAAACTCCAACAACTATAAAATGAACTCTTCTGAAGATTACAAAATTCAATCAATTAGAAAAGATAATGAATTTCTTGAAAGCTTTATAAACTGCTACCTGATCACTGATTGAAGTGATGTAGAAGGTTCATTTGCTAAAGCTGGTGAAAAATTAAGACACAAAGAAAATCCTACTTATGTCAATGTCATATTAGAAATTAATAGTTTTGTTTATGATGAATCAATCAAAGAAATTTGCTAAATTAAAATAAATTTTTTTTCAAAACTGTCTATTTTATTGTCAAACAAGTTTAACGACTACTCTACAGAATTTATAATTTATAGAAGCATTAAATTTATCGACCCGATTCATTGGATAAATGAAGATTCAGAATCAGGATTTCCAGAAATTAACCGTATCAGCAACTCATGTTATAACACTGTATCTGCAAACATGTTATAACACTGTATCTATAATGTTTATAAAGTGTATGTTTAAGGCAAATAAAAGCGCAACAGTATGTATTTTTTAATAAACGGTACTTGGAAACTTTTATCTTTGTCCCCAAAATAAGCTCTGATAATGTAATTAACTTGAGTTTTTTTTTTTGCAACAAGTAGTATTTTTTGTTTGGAATATTTTTTATTTTTGTTTAACTTTTTAAAATTAAAAAATCATTATTATTTGAAAAGCCGCAATTTAAAAAAATAAAATTAACATATTTTAATTGATTTATACAAATGTTGAGAAAAGAAATAAATTAAATATTAAATAATAAATAATAATAAAAAATGTAAAATTAAATTCAATCATTTAGTATTAAAAAACAAAAAAATATTGAAACAAAATAGAGATTCCACAAAATCTACCTTAGCAAAACAACAATAATAAGATTTGTTTTTCTAAATTAGTAAATTAAATTTTCCAAGATGTTTTTGTAATTGAAGAAAAAGATGAACTTCCATATTTCAAAGTTGATTTTGATAATCATTTAAAGTTTGTTAATCTAGATCCAAATGACTTCAGTTACAAAATGTTATTAAACAAACTAAAAAATATTAATCAAAACAAAGCATGTGGTCTTGATAATATGCATCCATTTCTGCTCAATAACTGTGCAGAAGCTATTTTGTTTCCTCTAACAATAATTTTTAATCCTTTAACTAATAGTCAGTTTCAATTTTTTTCAGCTTTCACTTCAATTTGGATCAGTTTTTTAAAAGTCTTCTGCCTTTTTTGAACACCACTGTTCAAAAAAGGCAGAAGAGTTGTTTAAGGCGAAATCATTTCTGAATGGGTTAAGATTTTCAGTGGTGTATCACAAGGTTTTGCAATTGCTGCACTTCTATTTCTTTTGCATATTAATGACCATCCTAAAAATTAATGTCACCCAACTATATGCAGATAATACAAAAATACTTTCAAAAGTATTCACAGAACTATGTACTAGGGTACAGCGAATTTTTTTTTTCTTTTTAAAAGCTTAGGAAAAGGTGTACTTTTATGTAAAATCAAATTTTAAGAAGGGTTTCCTAAAAAAAAATTTTGATCGG